AGGGAGTCACGGAGAGAGTTGTCCCTCCGGAAAGCAGATAAAGGTGGGGAGGGAAAGATGTCTTTGGTGGTGGGGTCGGATTGCAGATGGCGGAAGTGTCGGAGGATGATGCGTTGGATCCGGAGGTTGGTGGGGTGGTACGTGAGGACGAGGGGGATTCTTTTTTGGTTTTTATTGCGTGGACGGGGTGTAAGGGATGAGGTGCGGGAGATGTGGGAGACACGGTTGAGGGCGTTCTCGCTACCTACACTCACCTTTCCTGGCCCCATCCCCGCCTCTTCGACCTGTTTGTTTCTTCTCCACCTATCCTCTCCTCCATCCCTCTTCTATCCGCCTCCCACTCTCTCCCTATTTATTTCAAAACCCCCTTCCCCTCCCCCTTTTCTGATGAAGGGTCTAGGCCCGAAACGTCAGCCTCTCTGCTCCTATGATGCTGCTTGGCCTGCTGTGTTCATCCAGCCTTGCACCTTGTTGTCTCAAATGTTTGCATCCAGGATGTTGCAAGGAAGGCACTGGCTCACCTCACATATCCCGGCCGCGTCCTTCAGCGGTACGACCGCGTGACCCCTGTGATCGTGGGACGCGCTGCAGATGATGCAGATCGGTTTGTGGTCGTCATGGCAGAACATGTTGATCCTCTCGTCGTGGCTCCGGCAGCGGCCACCTCTCTGGCTCGGGGTGACGCTCAGCTTCTGGATGCTTTCGACCAGGCTGTGGAGCAAGCGGTTGTTGCGGAGCTCGGCGTCCTCGGGGAAAGTCTCCCTGCACTGGGGGCAGCTGGCCGCTCCGCCCGCCGCCTCCCACCGCTTCACCACGCACGCCCGGCAGAAGTTGTGGCCGCACTGCAATATCATGGGGTCCCGGTAGAAGTCCCGGCAGCAGGAGCAGGTCACTTGAGACCTCACCTTCTCGAAGTCGTCTGCACTCGCCATCCCAACCTGCAAAGCTGCCTTCCCTGCTCCCTCAGTCCCAGCGCGAGTGAGGGGAAGTGTTCAGCTGTTGGTACAAGAGGAGAGTTCTTGGAATCAGCCAAGAAGTGGGTGTTCCCTTCAGATAACATCTACTGAAGGCACGTCGACTTTCCTGTTCCTCTGATGCTGCCTGGCCTGCTGTATTCCTGCACCTCCACCTCCACACTGTATCGACTCTGACTCCAGCATCTGCAGTTCTTGCTATCTCCCAAGGCAAATGGTATGTTGGCCTTCATAGCAGCGGATTCCAGCACAGGGACAGGGATGTGTCTTGCTGCATTTGTACACGGTCTTGGCGAGAACACATCTGGAGTATGGTGTGCAGTTTTGGTCTCCTTATCTGAAGCGGGTTGTTCTGGCTATGGAGGGAGTGCAGCCGTTGTTTGCCAGACTGATTCCTGGGATGGCAGGACTGACTTAATGGACAAGAAGAATGCTCCCTGTCACAGAAAGCCGTTAACGCCAAAACATTGACTGCTTTCAAGAAGGAGATATAGCTCTTAGGGCTAAAGGGATCGAAGAGTATGGGGTAAAAGCGAGAACAGAGTTGGATGATCATCCATGATCACACTAAATGGTGAAACGGGCTCGAAAGGCGGAATGGCCGACTCTTGCTCCTGTGTTTCTATAATGATTTGATTTGTCAATGTATCATCGAAAACTTGCTGGTATAGACTGCACACCAACCCATTGTTTTATCCTTTTATTTTGGCTACATATATTCACGTACAGGACCCTGTTACTTGTAGGCAATACGATTATGTCCATGTGTATAGTTTGCCTTCCTCAATGAGAAAAAGTCTATTGTGGGGAGCAGTACTTGCTTTGTGGCACCCATGACAAAGGCCTGTTCAATCAGGGTTCTTCTGCCTGATCCGATTTTTAATCAACCAACTAAGATTGACAGCTAACTGCCCCTCTTGCATCCCCTATAGACCTACTATGATCCAAGCAGCACCGTCTTCTCATGCTATGTATAAATTTGCGATCCCAGTTTTGTTTTCTTGCATCCTGGTCCTGATGAGAGAAACATGAAAGGCTTCAACTCTTTTTATCAATGTTTATCTTTTCAGTTTATTAATCCACTTAACAAAACTAAATAATTGGATAACTGGGTGGACTATTAATCAGGATAGCCAGTATGCAGACAAAAAAAAATCAATAGTCAATATTATCCAATTTAAATATCAGTCAATAATTTGGAATTACTTTCAGATTTGAATAGGTATGGTAAGTGAACGCCTCCTGGGTTTCATCACTTTTTACCAGTCTCAGGATCAGAAATGGAGAATGCATGGTCTTCAAATTAGAGCGAGGCCATATAAGGAGAGAATTGGGATACACAGTCATGCAGAGCACTGAAATGTGGAAACACTCTCTGGAAGGCTGGGCGCAATTGTGATAGACTTGTGTTAAAAACTCTGTAAAGAGATATTGTGTTAAGATTTGAGACACCAAACCAGCTGTGACTTAACTGAATTGCAGATGCTCTTGGGGCTTGAAGTATTCCTCCTGTGCCGTGAAATATGAAAATGAAGGTTGAGGTAATCTGATGGGTCGTGTAGCTCAATATTCCCTCTGTATACTGGAAATGCATTGAAATTGCACACACCACCCCCAGCCCACCCCCAACCCTGCCATTCCAGTCAGTGCTGCAACCCTTTATGATTAAGCCTCACTAAGAAGTCAATAAAGTGTTAAATACAGCTTTACACAGTTAATTGCAGCTGGTTCACTACCTTTGATCAATGAGACTAAAGTCCCTTTTCTTGTCCAGAATTTCCCTTGGCTTTCTTCCATTTTGTGTCTGAAAGCTTGCTCAGCAGTTTATCCAGAGTTAAATGTTCTATATCTCTATTGCTGGTATTGTAGCCATATCCCTGTCCTCACAGCTGATAGACCAGTCAATAAGACGGACCTCATCCTGTAACCTCCCAGTCCCTATCTTCTCTCAGACACCCTGGTTGCCGAACTACATTTTACGCCACGATTTTGGCTCAGGTCAGCATGAAAATCATAGAATCCCTACACTGTGGAAGCAGGTCATTCAGCCCATTGAGTTCACACCAACCCTCTCAAGAGCATTTCCCCCAGAACCACCGTATCCCCATAACCCCGCATTTGCCATGGCTAACCGCGCCCCCTAGCCGGCACATCCCTGGACACTGTGGGTAATCTACCATCACCAAACCACCAAACCTGCACATCTTTGGACTGTGGATGGAAGCCAGAATACCTAGGGGAAACCCATGCAGACATGGGAAGAATGTGCAAACTCCACATAGACAATCACCCAAGGGGGGAATTGAACCTCAGTCTATGGTGCTGTGAGGCAGCAGTGGTAACCACTGAGCCACTGTGCCAACCACTGTGAGAAAACAGTTTACCAAGTCTACCTCAGCCAGGACAGGAATTGAACCACACACTGTTGGCATTACACTGAACGCAGTCTAGCTGCCCAGCTATATGAACCATCCAAATCTCCTTCAACTGATTAAAAATTCTCTTTGGAAGCTTCCCCTTCTATCAGCCAAATTATCATTGGGATATTTCATTTTATTATTCATCGGGCCACACTCTCACTTCTGATTCAGAAGTTCACCTTCCATCTCTAAGACTTGTGTGCAAAATGCAGACTGATGTGGCAGTGCATTACAGAGGGAGTGCTGCACTGTTGTTGGTGCCCTCTTTTGAATGAGGCCTCAGAATGAAGTGCTGTCTACTCTCTCCAATGCAATTAACAGGTCCTAAGGTGGTATTTCAAGAAGAATAGATGAGTTGTTCAGAATGTCCTGGCCAATATTTATTCCTCTACCAACATTACCAAAAAAAAACTGGTCATCATCTTATTGCTGCTTGTGGGAGCAAATTAGTTGCTGATACCTATAGTATAATAGGGACTACACTTCAAAGGCACCTCTGTAGCTGTAAAATATTTTAAAGCCATCTGGGATTGTGGAGAGTTCGACATAAATGTAAGTTTTTATTCTATTTTATTTCTGCACTTTTTTCACAATCAAAATTCCACCAGGTGCCTTGGAATGTTTGTTCATGTTAATCGAGTTGATGTTATGGATGTACAGTGATGAGAGTAGAAATTGTTCCAGTTTACTCCAATTTATCAATTTATTGAATTGTTGCAGGTGAATGTTTAAAATACCTGACGTTGTTAATGTTGAAAAGTATACATTGGTATTTTATGTAGGAGTTAACCTTAAACAGTACTTTAGGTGGATGCATTATGTTGTCTGCTTGATTTGATTTTAAATTCTGTTGAGTAGAGCAACATAGGACAGGGGTGTGAGAAGGCGTCTCAGCTCAAGCCTCCCAGCCTACCTTGGTCCCCTGCAATGTGCCGGTGAGTGAAATAGGTCCACAGCAGATGCCGTTTCCCTAGCCCTACACTCTTCCCTGGAACATCAGGTCAACAAGGACACCTATGCCTTCAACACTATAATGCCCTCCAGACTGATCCCAAAACTCTGAGACTTAGGTCTATGCTCCTCCGTCTGCAACCGGACCCTCAGCTTTCTGACCCACAGACTGCAATCAGTGAAGGTAGACAACTGCACCTCCTCAACAATAACCCTCAACACTGGAGCCCCCCCAAAGATGCATTCCCTGCTGTATTCCCTCTACATCCATGATTGTATAGCCAAATTCCGAATGAACACCATCTACAAGTTTGCTGATAACACTTCCATGGTAATATGGATATCAAACAATGATGAGTCAAAATATAGGAAGGAGATAGAGGGCTTGGTGTTGTGGTGCAATGATAACAACCTCTCTCTCAATGTCAGCTAAACAAGAGAATTGACTTCAGAGAGAAAGGAGGACGACACGCCCCCATTTACATCATTGGAGCTGAGGTGGAGAGGGTCGAGAGCCTTGAGTTCCTAGGAGTGACAATAACTGACAGTGTGTCCTGGACTTCCCTTGTAGATACGACGGTCAAGAAGGCACGACAACACCTGTTCTTCCTCAGGTGCCTTAGGAAATTCAGCATGTCCATACGGACCCTCACCAAATTTTACAACTGCACCATAGAAAGCATTCTATCCGGGTGCATAATAGCCTGGTTCAGAAACTGCTCTGCCCAGGACTGTAAGAAACTGCAGAAACTTGTGTGCACAGCCCAGACCATCGCGGAAGCTACCCTCCCATCCATGGACTCCATTCACACTTCTTGTTGCCATGGAAAGGTTGCCAACATCATCAAAGACCCCTCCCACCCCAGTAATGCTCTCATCTAACCTCTTCCGTCAGGCAGAAGGTACAGAAGCTTGAACACATGCACTAAAAGGTTCAAGAACAGCTTCTCCCCCACCCTTATTAGACTGCTGAATGGACCTCTGTAACTTTAAATAATGTTGGTCTTGCTAATGTTGGTCTCGCTTTGTGCACCTCCTGTGCAGTGTAAGCTGTATGCCTCACTCTGTCTAAGCACCCTATGATGTGTATTTCTTTGTTTTCTATGATCTGCTTGTACTGCTCGTGAAACAGAGCTTTTCACTGTACTTAGGTACACATGACTACAATAAATCAAATCAAATCAAATTAAGTATGCTCTGCCATTATGTGCAATAGGATGACGCAGTGGATCAGCGGTTAGCGCTGCTGCTTCACGGTGGCAGGGACGTAGGTTGGATTCCAGCCTTAGGTGACTGTCTGTGTGGAGTTTGCACATTTTCCCCGTGTCTGCGTGGGTTTCTTCCATGTGCTCCGGTTTTCACACACAGTCCAAAGATGTGTGGGTTAGGTGGATTGGCCGTGCTAAATTACCCATAGTGTTCAGGGATATGCAAGCTGTGTGAGTTAGTCATGGTTAAATGTGGGGTTATGGAGATAGGGTAGGAGTGTGGGTCTGAGTGGGATGTTCTTCAGAAGGTTGGAGCAGACTCGATGGGCCATGTGGCCTCTATCTGCACTGTATAGATTCTATGAAATAATGGCTGATGTGCACCCCAGTTTCACTGAAGGCAATGGAACTACATATTGGATGGGGGTTGTAACTGAT